TTCATCGGAAAATAGAAATAAGAAATATAGTTGGGTTTAACCACTAATTATACGGAATCCGAGAGCTGATAAAATAGATTCAGTAATGATTATAGGTTTAACGAGTTTACAAGATGTTAGAGAACTACTCAAACGAAAGAATTGACAGTTTTGAAGCAGGTAAAGGAAAAAAATTAGCAGAGAGTGTATAACAACAATAACTATAATTAATAATAGTAATAGTCATAAATAGGGATTTTATTATGATTTGGGAATCCATCAAATGAGTGAAGAATTGGATTGGAGCAAGAACAAATAATATAACAGAATCACATAAATTTATTACGTTTCGCGGTCCCTCGTCAGATGCTTACAATCTAAACATGACAGTACTAATCACTGTAAAGCCAGCTTATATACTTACTATCATGATATCAGAAAAGTTCTCACCAATGAATATCAATGAAGAGGTCAGTAAATATGGAATAACTGTAAAGGATATTTATATGTTAAACAATGTGAATATTTCTAGGTTGAATATAAGAATATTCGAGAATACAGAACTAAGAAAATAGAAGCAGAATAATCTGGAGATGAGATATTACTGTCATAGTTATGTAACTCTTAAACAATTGACTAACTGATCTCATTCATATTTGTTTCGTTCTATGATAATAACTATTAATTTTCACTTCTTATGGGATTGGTTCCCAGTTAGTCAATCCATATTATTCTACTACATTAATTTTTATTGTTTTAGTTAGTGATAAATTGATAACTGTTTCCTTTTGAACATTTTAATTCAGTTTGTATTTTTTTAAATTGCTACTTCGTTAATGAAGCGTAAATAAGTAGTTTTTCTATGTTTGTTAGTAGTTTTTGAAGACTGACGAATGTCAGTTATATGATAGTTATCAATTTTTGTCTGAGATTTCAAATTGTTTAGGAATTTGAAAATATAAACATGTACTCTTCACTTGGTTCTCTCAATGTATGTGTTTAGCACGTATATACAAATTGGTAGATGCAGTTAAAGGTCTATTCTTTCATTTTATATTATATTTCAACACGAATTTCAGCAGCTGAAAGGAAGCTATGAGAAAAACGAACTCATATTAGATTTAAGGTAGTGCACACACTTCCTTAGCTCTATACCTCTACAGTACAAGAAAAACAGTGATCAAAACTCATAGTTATTGAATACTTACTACATTTTCCACGTATATAGTTCGAGAAGAACACATTTAGGACGAATGGATACGTTGGAAAGTTTATAAATAAACACATGATCACGAAGGTTAGGATAAGCAAAATACAAACAGTGAATCAAAAATCCCTGTTCATGCCCTTGCAATTCAGAGAGGATGGAGCCAATGAAATATTAATTCACAGATTACGTATAACAAAATATATACAACGCCAGAAACTACGACTAGTGTTCTCTACGCGCTTAATGGTGACGCAGAGGCCAAAAGATGATTCACTTAGAATGACCACTTTATTTGTCTTTATCAATTCGACTGCTATTGGGTAGCAATTATATTGGTTGGAGTTCTAGTAATTCCCACGTTCGTGCTCACAAACACCTCCCACAGTAGCTAAGAAAAGATCTAGTGAAGAAAGTAAACAAATCTGTATTGTTCCACTTAGTGGGAACTGGTCATAGTACTCGTATAAGCCAACCATTATCAATCATTTATCGGGTCACAGTTTTTTTCACCAAAATGTTTCAAATGGAAGGACCTGTGGCCATTCGGATTGAAAAAAAATCTTCAACAGCTTCTCTGACTTCGCCAACTTCAGGGCCAATTAATCAATAGTATTCTTAACTGCTGAATGACCTAATTTAACCAAAGTATTTACAGCCTTTTTTAGTCAAATATAAATATCTTTGTCATCTTTTTTCACATATATTTGTATTATTATCATTATCATTGCTTTAACATCACTAATAACCTAACGAACACATGATTAACCTAGCCTCAAGATATAACTGCCGGAGTTCTTGTGAGAAGCCGTGATCAGTCGGTCACTGTCAGATGTGAGAGAGATATCCACCTCAGACAATTGATGAAGGGTTGCCAAAGATCATGGAATGATTAAAGTTAGACATTAGCACCGTTGGATGCCGTTCCAATGGTTTAGATGTTGGGCGTTTGCAGGCGAAACCGAAGACTCTGGCTTCAAGCTCCGCGTGAGGGATCATGGATGCGCACTGTTGAGGAGTCTCATATTAGTTCAAACGACCATCCAGTGCTTCCAGGCTTTCGGTGTTGGTCTAGTTTAAATTGATTCATGATTTCAACTGTGAAAATACTACAATCTCCACAAATCTCCTTACCGGTAATCTACTTAGCACTCATTCCGATTTATTATTTTTTTACTACTTTCATATAACTTATTACACAATATAATCTTCCACTAAACATTTGGTCGAATTTGTAATTGTATTATTATTTTTCTCACTCTATCTGATCCATATTTATTCTGAACATGAATCTGATGACTTCATTCAACGTATAAGTTGATTCAGATTTAACACCGCATATTAGTCATCTCAACATTCAATTTCCATTTATTTTACAATCCTAAATTTACATGTGATTACTATAAACGTTATACTTTGTCTTAAACCTGGCCACTGTTTAGAATATTAATTTGGCGATATAATTATAGAACCTGAAGAGAATTTATTAGTGTTAGTGTTATCATATTATTCTACCTCAATTATTAGATTGACTGTATTCAACGTTATTCCAATCAGCATCAAATCTTTTCATGTCCATTTACTGGATCAATGCAAAGTAGTTATGTTTTGCTTCTGAATTCTAATGTGACTTTAACTACTCACTATTATCTGAGATTTGAAGCTACAAAGTTTATCTACCGAACAAAATGATAATCTCTATGCAAGGTTTAAAATTATAGATCAATAAATATTATCGAAATCGTTCGTCATGTTTACAGTGGCCATTCAATCTATGAAGAACCAAATAAATCTTATCATCCACCTGTCATTTCAACGTAATTATCATTCCATACCCCAAATTCTCCAACAAAAAAAAACAATTAACTTGTATTACTAAGTTACATAATCGGTAAAACATCATCCAGATCATTTAAAAGAGTGATTTAAACAGGAAAACATTATCTGAACAATAGACTCTCATTTAATTTGTTAATCGTCGATAGACCACAGTTGTGGTTTTAACGGACTCAATCTAACAGCTTACAATTTTTCAAATTTCTCATATCCGGTCATCAAACATAATTAATGAGAATAAGCATAAATAGTTCAGCATATGTACAGGATAATTCATTTTGACATTGGGATTATCAACTGTTTTGAGTGTTCACATTACAATCATAACGTTTAATAACCATGACAGCTTTCAAGTTTTGTGATTCAAGATATTTAACTTCTTATTGGCCTAAATTCAATATATTAAAATGATGTCATATGTCACATTTATAAGGTTGTATAATTATTTTTTTTCGAAAAAGTGTGCTAGACTTCACAGTGAGTCACATTACTGTCCTAATATAACCCTGTAAACTTTCAAGAAAACAGTAATAACTGAGTCGAAAACAATGTTTTCAGCGTCACACAGTGATATGTATTCCGTTAATCAAACATGTGCTGGTTGTGGAAAATCACCGATAAAATTATACGATAAGTTTGTATTTGATATATTACTTGTTGAATGTAATTTCGTTAACTGTCAAATTTCTATTACTAATAAAAGTGAACAGTCAAAACTAAATCCCAAACGAATTCAACTAACCAACATGGCTATACGAGTCATGAATATAAAGAGCATCTCAGTATCCATTTCTCATTTACCAAGCTTGTAGAATTTTATCTAAACCATGAACTGTCCCATTGTAACAGTGATATTTCGATAAATAAGCTATCGATTCTATCTACACATGACATCAACATTCTAATTCATTTTTATATAATTTCTCTAACCATAAAATTATTAAACAACCGTAAACTATTTTGGAATTTCCACTGCCATTCTATATACAGTACAATTTAACAAAGTATGAAACTATATTTTTAACAAAACTGGAAATCCAAGCACAAAAACTATAAATCAAAAGAAATAAGCAGAATCGAATAATAAAAAATATGAGAGCATTAATTTCAAGGTAGAGTGAGACGTAAAATAGATGCAACCATGTTGTTAAGATCAATTTTAACCAATATCATTGTAGTCTCTTATCAATTATGAAGCCTATATTTTCCACCATCATATATTATTCATTGATCCAAGTGTAATGAGAATTACTAGAAATCTAATTAAAATAAACATATTCTGATACTTTAGCAACAATATCATGTTTATTGGATGAACAATTATCATGATTACAAAGAAAATCTACTATTCAAGTAATTTAATGATATACTTTTGTCTAGAGATTGCGTAGTAGTAATAAATTATATGATTGAACGAAGCAGATACAATTACATAGGATCTAGTCAAATAAGTTTCGAAATTATCCATATTTTTGAGGATTTAATATGTAAAGATTTTTAAAGGACTTATTTATATTCATAAGATTATACACAATTTTATGAACGTTTCAAAAATAATATGAAATGTAATGGAGGTGTGTTCCAATGGTCATTAAAGTTTTAATCCTATACTCATTATTCCTTGTCATATAATAGATTTGGAATGAAAAATATAACTTAAACCCCTTATAAAATTGTGCAAGTTAATCGTATTTCTACCATACCTGGATGATGTAAACATAATGTAGTTGAGTATCAGTTGCATATTGGATATAATCAATAAATATTATAATGGTTAATGAGTTTGACTATTACTCAGGTTTCTCTGAATACCTGATTCATGAATTATACTAACAATTTAGAATGAAAGAAATAACCTTTCAATCCCTAAATTAAAATACACATTAAACATGAATTCAGCAATCTTTTTCGAATTCAATGAAAAAAAAATTACTTTTGGTAAATTCTATACAATAATACTAACAATCTATGAACTTACCCTGGATCATTTGAATCGGCGGTAGATTCTATGACAAGAGATGTTTGTCGTTTAGTTAGTGCTAGTTTTGTATATGATTCAGTTAAACTTTCTGTTGTTGTCGTTGAAGTAGTTTCTGGACATAATGCTTCACCATTACTACTACTTGTTGTACTTGTTCCATTACTATTCATATCACCAACAGCTGAATCATCTGATGGACTAGCACTTGGTTTTGGACGATTAAGAGTCATTTCGGATAAATATATATATATATATATTTTTAAAAGTTTGATAATATTAAGTTCCCAAAATGAATTTAATTTAAAGAATTTACAATTCCCAGCACGTGTTAGTTATAACAATTGTTATGAATAATGATGAAATTAGTTAAATCTATTTACACAACAATTAGAAGCATGGAATAACTACGCCACTAAATAGTAAATACTACAAAGCAACTAATACGCTGATAACTATAAGCGTATTATAATATATATATATATGTAATAAGTGTTCTTATTTTGTAAAGTCAAATAAATGGATGCATTATAATCAAAAGATAAATATAACCAATCATTAGACAGGAATTTCATAAAATGTCATGAATTCTAAAATATTACTGGTTTATAGTGATGTAGTACAGTTAAATATTTTCAATGGATTAAACCAATCATAATTCATTAAAATCGAATATATTTAACTAAACATCTCATATGAATGGATAATGAATTTCAAATATTGAAAAATGAATAGAATTTATATTTAAATAAAATTATAAAATGTTGTAAAACATTTTTTGATCCAAATAGAATTTACAATAGTGTTCAGAGATCAGTAAGATGAAAAATTTCAAGTTATACACACTAAATTTCGTGAATTGAAGTTAAACATTAACATCGTTGGATACCAGCTCAGTGATCTAATAATTAGGTGCTCGCGCGCAAGAATGTTAGGTCCTAGGTTCGAATCCCGTGAGGTAGAATCGCGGATGCACACTGCTGAGGAGTCCCACAATAGAACAAAACGGCCGTTCAGTGCTTCCAGGTTTTCCATGTTGGTATAGCTTCAACTGACTCATGATTTCAGCTATTGAAAATAATAAGTTGAATTTAGATACAATTATTCAATATATTTTTTGTATCTATGGTTTGCTATATTTTAATAACTAAGGTAACATTCCCTAAATAATATTAATAATAGTATCATGAAATATTCGGATTATACACATGATGTCATTAGACTAGTAATGTTTCATATAAACCGGAAGCATTTAACGACCATAGAGCTTCACGTGAAACAGTTTCTAAAATGTTTGATATATATTTATATGAAAGTTGACATAATGATTCATGTTTGTTTTACTAATACAACGATAAATTATCAAAAACTTGTATCTTCATACTTGATATTTCTATTCGCATCGTTTGTCACAGGACTTCAGTTGAATGACGTTTTTCTTCAAAAGTTACTTCAAAAACATAAAAGAACTGGTATGAAACACTAAAAAATCACATTATCTAGTGACGATGTATTTTGTAAGCAACTCTAAATTCAATAAATATTAATAAAGCACCAGATCATGTTTTTTATGAGTTCAGCTATTCGATTCACTTATAACTAATCAGCAAATTATATATATTTGTCAAGAGAGTTCTTACGTACTTACGCCTGTTACTCATCGTGGAGGAGCATACGCCGCTCACCAGCATTCTCCATCCAACCCTGTAATCGGCAATCCTTTCTAGATCTTTCCAGTTGTTATTCACCCTTTTCATATCTGATTCTATTTCCCGATGTAATGCGTTCTTTCGCCTTTCACTTTTACGCTTCCCTTCACGATTCCAAGTTAGGGCTTGTCTCGTGATGCAGTTTGACGATTTGCGTAATGTATGTCCTATCCATTTCCATCGTCTTTTCCTAATTTCTTCTTCAGCTGGAAGTTGGTTTGTTCTCTCCCACAGAAGGCTATTGCTGATGGTATCCGGCCAGTGGATGTTGAGTATCTTGCGTAGACTGCTATTTATAAATACTTGTACTTTCTTGATGGTGGTTGTTGTAGTTCTCCAAGTTTCAGCTCCATACAGTAGAACTGCCTTGACGTTCGTATTGAAGATTCTCACTTTGATATTGGTTGGAAGTTGTTTTGAGTTGCATATGTTCTTCAATTGTAGGAATGCGGCCGTTTCTTTGCCAATCCTCGCCTTTACGTCTGCATCTGAACCTCCCTGTTCATCAATGATTCTTCCCAGGTATGTGAAGGATTCTACATCTTTCAGAGTTTCGCCATCAAGAGTGATTGGATTGCTGTTCTCCACCTTGAATTTGAGGACCTTGGTTTTCCCCTTGTGCATATTGAGGCTACTGATGCAGAGACTACCGCTACGCTGGAAGAGAGTTCTTGCTTTTAGTAAAATTTTAACGTCTCGTATACTTTTCAAGTCAAAACAATCTTTAAGTAAGCCTTTATCAACAAAAAATCATTGCACAATTTTTGACGAATCATCGATGGAAGTTTATCCTTATTTTGAAGCAATCAATAAACACAATACTTAAAACTAAATTTCAACTAATGATAAATGGTATTTTAAATAGTTTTGAAGAACTATGTGTAAGTTTTATTTCAATCATCACAAAAATAAAAAAAACTAATATGAAAATCAAATTATCAACTTGAATCGACCACATTCATCATACAATTATTTTATCTAAGTCAGGTTAAGTTAATAAATCATTTAAAAATTAATAAGATTACTGCCATTATGAGGTTATAGTAAACTTAAAGTCAAGAATGGCGGTGATATATATATATATATATATATATAGATAGATAGATAGATAGTCCTAGCTTATATCTTACTACTGAAAATCTATGTTCATTACTTATAAGAAATAACATTTATCACATCTTGTTACTGACACAACAGTTAATGCCAGTGGTTAGTTGTAAAAATGTTTGACAAACATGTTATATGACCTATCATCTTAGTTATTTATATTTACTTTTGAATAACCAGTGTTGATTATTGTATGTCTGGCATTCAGATAGTATGTTACATAAAGAGCTTATGAAAAAAAATTGATTCTACGTATACTAATTAATGTGCATACTTGGTATTTTGAGACAATTGATTTTTAAAAAGTTGAATGAAAATAACTGAATTTCATTGTTATAAATTGGCAATATTTTTTTAGAAATTTCACAGATTGAAATCATGATTCAATCGAAGCTAGACCACATGGAAAACCTGGAAGGATTGGACGGCCGTTTCTTCCTAATATGGGACTCCTCAGCAGTGCGTATCCACGATCCCACACCCCGCGAGATTCAAACCCAGGACCTATCAGTCTCGCGCCAAGCGCTTAACCAACTAGACCACTGAGCCGGCATCCAGTGGTGTCAATGTCTAAATTCAACCAATCCACGAAGTTGCGCTACCGTATACCATTGTCTTCAGTGAGCTGATATCTCACTGATAGGTCCTGGGTTCGAATCCTGTGGGGTGCGGGGTCGTGGATGCGCACTGCTGAGGAGTCCCATACTAGGACGTCCAGTGCTCCCAGGTTTTCCATGGTGGTCTAGATTCAATTAACTCAAGATTTTAATACGTGAAATTTCTAAAATCTCCACAAACCCCTTCTGATAATAATTTTTCACGTGACAAAAATACATACAGTTTGTTTGCTTAATAACTTGACGGTTTTCTGTAAACATTCAATACACTTCAACGACATTATCAAATCACCAATGTTTACTAGAAAAAGAAAATTTTTGATAAAAAAAGGGTCATTCAGTATCAGATTCTTCGTTTTATAAGCTTATCCTCTATACTACAGTTATAGTTCAGCAAGGTTATGGTGATAAATTGGTTACAAAATCTTTAATAACAATGCAGATGTATAGCATATTTAGTATGTTTTTATTTTTGAAATGCTTCTTGAAATTCATACATTCATCTAGTGAAGCGTATATCATAGTTTAGATGTTTTTTCCTTATGTTGCTTTTATTCTACTACATAATTATCTTCTTAGGTTGGGTATATCCTTAAGTTAACGGGCGAAAATATAGATGGCGTTTATGAGAAGGGAAGTTTGGTGCAGCACTATGTTAGTATCTCGGTGGTCAATGTGCAATAACATAGTGTAATCCAGCTGGACTGTAATACATAGTGCAGTTGATATTGAGAATTGTTTCTCTAACCTGATAATGAATAGTCTTTTATTTAAATAAGTCTAGTCGACATTTCAATTTATACAAAAGCGAAGTTAATATAAACCATTAAGGTGTGGACTCGACAACGGAATAGTAGTGTATTCACCATGAAACATGATTTTTTACTCTGGTCAAAGTGATCTCGTTAATTTGTACTGATGAGAAATACCAAACCAAGAAACTGATCTTCAGTACTTAGTTACGGTTTGTGATATTCGACCTGAGACTTATCTCTGAAGAAAACTATTTTCTAACCATATTATTACTTCAAAAAAGATATATAGACAAATGCTGTAGACTTCATAAACTACCACTCGTTATAATTTGAATACATTCGATTATATAAAATTTGACTTTGCTTTAGTTAGTAGGAGTAAAGGAAATGATAAGAAAGATATGAATATATTTATTTTTATACATATTGTGGCTAATTGAACGATTGAGATTAAGGTTTTAACAAAGAAACTCATTACAATAGTTGAGATCATGAGTTAATTGAAGCTAGACCATCATGAAAAACCTGAAAGCAGTGGACGGTCATTTCGTCCTATTGTTGTACTCCACAGCACTGCACGTCCATGATCCTGCCTTTCACGTTTCGAACCTAGGACCTATCAGTCTGGCGCACGAACACTTAACCTATAGACCACTGAACCGGCAGGTTCGAGACCGATAAGTCCTGAGTTCGAATCTCTCCGAGTGGGGTCATGGATGTGCACTGATGAGGAGTTCCACAATAGGACAGAACGGCCTTCCAGTGCTTCCAGGTTTTCCAAGGTGGTCTAGCTTCAACTCATGATCTCAACTATTAAAATTACTATAATATCCACAAAAACCCATTCTGATATTTACTAATCAGTTAGTTTTCATCTTTTATCATCTATATTCACTCATATAACTAACTGAAATGAAAATTAAACATGTTTCAACGTGAATTATTATCTTAAATTTTAACTAAACCCTAGATATTTATAAGAAATTGTTTACAATGAACTTAGTATAGTTAAGATTGTCAATTGATATTGAATGAGTTGATAATTCCTAATATATTTCAATTGAATGATTACTTTCTATCTATAATTTGTTGCCATTTTATTGTACGAAATTACCTTTTTCTATTGATGTAATTAGCTTTTTGTTTTGTTTTGATATATGGAAATAATTTTTGACCATATTTTAAGTGATACAGTAATTATTTATTTAATCATAGATTTATGTCCGTTTTCCATGGTGGTCTACTTTCAACTGACTCATGATCTCAACTATCGACATTACTATAATATCCACAAAACCCCTTCTGATATGAATCAACATATACTCGCTAGTGACTGAATTCAAGAGGTACTTCCTGGAGTTCTA